GGCCACTTCCCGACATTTACGCGGTGATTTGGCCACTTCCCGACATTACCGAAATGGAAACTTATCCATCATCCAATACTCTAACGCGTAATTTGCACTATTTCCGACGATATATTTTAACCGAGTTGAAAAAAAGGAGGAGTTTCTCAATTCGACTATGTTTTTTTTGTATGTATGTTACGCGATAAGTCCGCGATTTGTGAACCGATTTTGGTTATTCCTCACCTCAAAAGTGGTCCCATTTAAATTTGAAGAAAATATTCAACCTCTAAGGGTTGGTAAACCAGGGGATGAATGACTTTTGAGGTCGGTTTTTTAGTACTCTGCACTGAGGTTAGGTTATTATATTTGTGCAATGAAATATTATTATGAAAATAGGGCCATGGCATACCGCCTTATACTGCCATGTCTTTGAAGCCTCGCATTTTTGTTGACTTTTAAAGAACTTATTGACAGCATAAACTGATACTAGTGTATAATACTAAATCAAGATCAAAATGCCACTTGTCTGAATGTATAATTTTATGAAGATGAACAAGTTGATGGGAATTTCGCAAAGACGCACATGGTGTCCCTGCCAATAATAATGACAATAGTATTAATTTCTGGCACTGGCCAAGTGCCATAGTAGTTTAAAAATTTAAAATTTATCTTTTACGCCATGAAGGAGTCTGAATCAGATACTCAAAATAACAATAGGGTCATAATGGGCTTATAGTGATAATTTTAATACAATTCATACCTGTATATGAAGTCTATGAATAATAGTCTCGACAGGATAAAATAGGATTTCCATAGTAATAAAGGAGAAAATTCCTGATTTCAAATTGATGTCCTCAATCAAAGGATTGGATGCAGATTTAGCATAATTTGTGTTGTATGAATCACTCAGTTCATGCCTGTGCCTTTGTTGGAATCTTAGAACCCTTACTGTTATACTTCTTAAAGTTATGCTGCAAAGGAAAAAAGTAAGTGAATTAGGTCAATCAAACTACTGCTCAAATTTGGCCTACAATGAATTGTTTTTTGTATTGTTAAGTTTATTTCACTATCTATAGGGTATATAAAATGTCAAAGCAGGAGTACTTTAAATGGTTTTTAAGTATCCTGTATTATATATTCTATACAGGGTGTTCCAAAAATAACACGCCAGAGCGATACTGTGGGTAGGTGAGCTATATACCTACCAGAAAAAAATATTTTGACCCTAGTAAAAGTCTTTTAGTTTTCGAGATATAGGCCCTTTTTTATTTTTTTGCAAAAACTCTACTCTTTGTTGGGTTTTATGCTATTATTGCCATGGTTAGCTCCAGATGGTTGTTATTTTGACTGCCTCCGTGGCCGAACGGTTACCATGCCGGACTGCCACGCAGAGGTCCCAGGTTCGATTCCCGGGTCGGGAGAAATATTGTTATGGCCTACATTTATTTCTCTCGTGAGTTTGGGTGTAATTTGTGGTTGTCTATGTGTGTGTCCATGGCACCCGCAACACAGGGTTTCCCTAGTGCGGGGCTATGTTGAGTGTGAGCGTTATTATTATTATTATTATTATTTTTATTTTTCGAGTATTCTGAATAGTTTTTCCAGGTACAGCAACTAATATTTTACTGAGAAATATCATAAACTATGAAAAAAGTGATTAATTTGGTATACCTCGTACCTTGTAAAAAGTTAAACATTAACTTTGAATAGCTTGTGTGAAAAAAAATTGTATGAAACTGAATTTATAAACGATCTTAAAAGCTACTCCACTTAATGCAGAATCAGGAATTGTACAATACTGTTGAAATTTTTGAAAAGAACTTAGTCATTTAATTTTTTTTCGACATCAACACCCTACTAGCCGAATTGGTTTCTAAACAAAAATTGTGTTAAATTATTGAGCTTTATGACTAACTACTCTGTCGCTAGGCCCCAGGTAGTAAAAAATGAGCGAGAGGTATGACCCTTATTTGTTATCTCTCTCTTACGTCGGTATCGGTCGCCAGGTGGGATCGGGTCGGGTTGGGCCCGTAGTACCCGTTAGTACATGTACATACCTTTGTGTTGTGCTACGTACGCGATTTTCGTTTTATCACTGTTTCCGTTTCTACACTTTCGACGACTTGGCATCACTTTGGACTTTGATTTGATAACGATCGGAAAAGTTTTTTTAGTAATCATATCAACAACTTGGCATTACTTTGGACCCTGATTTGCTTACTATTTGGACGTTTTGTTTGTGTGTGATCGACGGTTGCGCCTTCAGATACTGCCTTTATACAGTTAAAATGGCAGATCAACAGAATATCGTTGGAGCAAACCCCGAATTCACTCATAGTGATTACGCTGACATATACCTAATTTACGGCGAAACTAGACGTGTTTCTGCTCGCGGCATCGTATCGTTAAATGCAAGATTAGCAGCAAGATTGTATGCGGTAAGATTTCTAACCATAGGCCACCGACTCATGAGACCATAATAAGAGTTGATGCTGCATACAGAGAGGGTAGGAACCCTGGCCATCGTGGTGGAGGCAGACCTCGTACCGTCGCAGACGAAATAGTTTTGCAGGAAGTGTCAAGAGATCCGTCCACTTCAGTCCGCCTGATAGACGGACTGGCATTTCAAAGTCTACGGCACGGCGAATTTTAAAAAGGCACCGATACCACCCATACCATATTCAGAGAGTTCAAATTTTACTGCCGAGCGATTACGCTAAACGCGTAGTTTTGTCAACAAATGCTTCAAAAGCACAGTGAAGACCCCAACTTTTTTAATACGATTTTGTGGAGTGATGAATCAGCATGTCGCAGAGATGGCTATGTAAACCTCCACAATATCCATAGCTGGCAGTTAGAGAACCCGCACGAGAGAAGAAAAGATCGGTCCCAACACCAGTTTAAAATTAATTTATGGACCAGAATTTTCAATGCGGAAATATTTGGTCCAGTTGAACTGCCTCCGACTCTAAATGGCGAAAATTATTTAGAGTTTTTACAAAACCATTTGCCAAACCTTCTCGAAGATGTGCCAATAGCATTACTAAGAAGAATGTGGTTTCAAAATGATGGGTGTCTACTACGCTCGCGACGTCCGAACGCACCCCGACCAGACGTTCCCACGAAGATGGATTGGCCGATTGGGACCAATTTTGTGGCCACCGAGATCACCTGATCTGAACCCCCTCGACTTCTTCTATTGGGGGTGCTTAAAAGATAAAGTTTATTCCAAAGCTATCACTACAGAAACCGAACTACGACGACGAGTCTATGAAACAGCTCGAGAAATTTCTGAGAAGCTCATTCGTCAAAAGATGTCGCATGTGCATTAGAGTCAGAGGGAGGCAGTTTGAACACTTGCTATAATATCTAATAAAAATTAAATTATTTAAATTTTATTGTTTTATTTTCCATTAAGTAAAAACGGCGACAAATCAAGCGACACACAAAGGCACTCTTTTTTTTTTTTTTTTTTTGATCAAATAAATAATAAATAAATAACGCACACACTCAACATAGCCCCGCACTAGGGAAACCCTGTGTCGCGGGTGCCATGGACACACACGTAGACAACCACAAATTACACCCAAACTCACGAGAGAAATAATTGTAGGCCATACAAATATTTCTCCCGGCCCGGGAATCGAACCTGAGACCTCTGCGTGGCAGTCCGGCCTGGTAACCGTTCGGCCACAGAGGCAGTTATTCTCTCTACCACGATATTAGTAGTTAAATCCGCATGCTTTTGGGAAGTTTGATTTGTCACAGTTTGTTTGTACCAGTTCAGAGAGAGAAAGAAAAGCCTAGTAACTATCTCACTCCTTTATTACGAATACAACGTGGGAAAAAGATTGATGCGCCGTTACCTAGCGCTTAGCAATTAATTTATTTAAAAGTTTAAATTTAATTTTGTTTAGAAACTGATTAGGCTGGTAGGGTGTTATGACGAAAAATAAATTAAATGACTATGTTCTTGTGAAAAATCTCAATAATATTGTACCATTCCTAATTCTGCATTAAGTGGAGCAATTTTTAAGATCATTTGCAAATTCAGTTTCATACATTTTTTTTCACACTAGCTATTCAAAGTCAACGTTTAACTTTTTACAAGGGTATGAGGTATACCAAATTAATAACTTTTTTCACATTTTATGACATTTATCAGATAAAATATTAGTTGCAGTACCTGGAAAAACTATTCAGGTTACCTGAAAAATAAAAACAACTACCATCTGGAGCTAACCCTGGCAATAGTAGCAAAAAACTCAACAAAAAGTAGAGTTATTCCAAAAAAATAAAAAAGTGCAAATATCTCGAAAACTAAAAGACTTTTACTAAGGTCAAATTATTTATTTCTGGTAGGTATATAGCTCACCTACCCACAGTGTCGCTCTGGCGTGTTATTTTTGGGACACCCTGTATATTATAAATGAAATCAAAGACGTGATAAAAACTTACTGTGCAAGATATTTAGAGATCCCAAGAGCAGTAGTGGGTAACACAATAGCCCAAATAGGCAGCATTCTTCCGCGACTTGGTGTGCCCCACTCCAAAATACGTACAAAGCCTTCGCGGAATACATCTAATAGAGCTGGCTTGTCGCTTGCTATGTCGCTCTGTACAGTTTCTACTAAACTCGCCGAATAAAATGGTGTTATGATTGCTATGCTTATGCTGAAATATAGTTTGATATTTGGTAAGTAAATATATGTACTGATCTAAGGGTCAGGTGTTTGTCTTTACATACTATTTCATTTAGGTTAGGGACAAATCTATATAAAAGTGTAAACAAATGAAAACACTCATCCAGCCTTGCCAGCATGTCTTGCTGAATTTGCATTCCCAGCTGTGTGTCACAAAACTGTTAAATTGTGAGCAACACTCTTTAAATCCACACGCTTAGATTTGCCCATGTTGGGCTAAAGATAACTTACAGAGTACTCAGTGTACGTGTATTATAGGTGACTTACCTTTTCAAAGTGATATGCTGCAGAAATTGTAGCACTGAATTGCATTTTCCAATCTCTCTGATAAACAAGAAACAAGAATGTTAGTTATTTAATAAAGTGTGTCCTTTTACATACCGATGAGAAATATATGCAATACAATAATGAGTTCTAATTTGTGAAACAAATTTGCAGCATGTTGTTGTTGTTGTGGTGATTTGCTTACTTATAAAATGAATAGACTCTATGCTGAATTTGAAGACCTATACAGAGTGAAATCGAAATCATTAGCATCCTTTTAAAGTAAGACCCTACTCATGATACCAATTGCATTAACACAAAAATTTTGCAAGTCAAAGCTGTTACAATATTTATAACTCTTGATGAAAACCAGAAAATCTTTACACACGTAATTATGATGCGATAGACTATTACAAATAACCATGAAATAATATATAAACTCCAATAAATTTGTCAAGTATCAAACGCTCACGGCGTCAAAATAAATACGAGTCTACGATCTTGAACGTTGCATTGAAATATGCATTTGTTTGTAAACAAATATCCACCTGAGCCTGGCCTTTCAGTTGAAGGTCACCCGTGAGTCGTTCAAATTTTCAAAAATTCAAATCAGTGCAAATCGGGCTGCCCGCGTTGATGCACGTCACACGGGTTCCTGCGTTGAAGCACGTCACGCGGCTTCCCGCGTATTGTGAATTTCGATTGTAGTGAGAGTACAATAAATTTAAATTGTGAACGCAATGCCTAGGCAAACGTAATTTTCAAACAAATACGACACAAAGATTACCGTACGCTCTCACTAAAAATTTAATGCTGAGAAATGAAATGCAACGTGCATTTCGTGCTCGCTACCAGAACGCGCTAGCTAGAAAAAGTCACCTATGGGAACAGAACATTTGATCTCCAGAATGGAGCTAAACATTCTAACCACTGTGGCAGGCTTTAAAGGACTATCCACAGATATCCGGGCCGTGGACGGGGTGTGCTAGTTTGTATGAACTGCGGGCCCGTCCCGGCCCCGACCCGGACACGGACATGTGAGTTCATACAAAATATACACAACGATATTTTTTTGAGCCCCTGACGGAGCACGGCCCGTCCACGTCCTAGATATGTGTGGATAGACCTTAAATTGTGAAAATTAAACTGACTACCACCAAAACGTAAGTCTAACACTCTAAACACTACCACTATGTGAATTGAACTAGAACCAAATGCTGTAACCACTATTTGGAGAACTATGTTATTAAATTGTTATTGCATGTGCCATTTTGATACTTTGTTTATTTAGGTAAGACTTTTTAAATTTTTTTTAATCACTGATTTTACATTGCTGCTAATTTAAAATTACACTAAAATATTTATTTAGGCGAGTAGATTAATAGCTTCAATAGATGCTATGATTTCAAAATCACCCTGTATAAATAAAGCAGAACTATCACCTGTTAACACAATAAAAAAGTGCATACAGGTATCCAATCTAGTGCCAATATATAAAAAAAATACAATTTTATGACATTATGAGTAAAAGTACTAACTTTGGCCACCCAGTAGCTTCAGCAACAATATTTTCAACAGCCATGTTGAGCCCCTTGACTATGCAGGTGGACCCAATACCTTTCCAGAGAGTGGTGACATCCTGCCTTCGATGCAATCTCACCACTACTGGCAGCAGGGAGTATGGTACTATGTGATAACTCCTTAAGCTGTTGTGCACCTGCAGAATAGCAGTATTAGTGGGTTTGGAGCATACTACTTTTGATAAATAGATATTTTTTTTATGTTTAATTCTTTGAGATTTAATTTAAAGTGCACCAATTTAATTTCCAATATAGAAGTTTTTAATTATTAACAGTTTAGTTTTAGTAGCCGTAGAGCTCCTTGTGAAAGAGTTTGTCCAGGGTAGTACTGCCACCTTACCTATTTCTGCCGCCAAACAGTTAATATCAGCATTACTGTGTTATGGTTTTGAAGGGATAGGGTGCTGGTGAAATTACATGCACATGGGACTTATTCATTTCATTATTTATTGTACAGGAAAACACAAATCACATTTCGTAAAACAGAAAACACAAACAAAATGATTCATCTGAAGAACAAAGATCTATGTGCAAGACTACTTGTTCTCAGGACATAGTACATTTCATTCATTCTTCTTCGCTGTGGATGTCATGGCGACTGTATTTTACATTTCCGAAATGAAATAAGGTATATAAATTCTCAAAACACTGTTACATGAGCCTTAGTTTCAATAACGAAATAATTCTCGTAATGTACCTATTCTCTTTTCAGTATATAATCACAACGGACTCTGTTCTTCAGATGACTCAAAAAGGTACTGCTTATTTCTATAAGAAATTTCTTCCTGCGGGTCAAAATACAAGACACAACAATTACAATAACGGGTTTACATGTACAACAAAACGAAATAAAATTATGTAATAAAAAAAACAGCAAATTTATTAAATTACTACAAAGACTTAGATAAATACATATTTCATGTTATAATATATATAAAATGGATGGAAGAGAGGTTAAATAGTGCTCCTTGATTCTCATTTTAAAGATAGCTAAGGATAATGAGAGAGCGACAAAGCTTATCCTGGGATCTGAGAAAGCTGAAACGCTCTGTCAGATACCTGGGAGACAAAGGAGTATGTAGAATGTTGTAAAGAAGAGAGATGATATGCAAATTCCTGTGGACTTGTCAACTTATTGTCTCAGGGTGACGGGTGCAGTGGCAGTGCCCCTTAGATCTTTGCAACTTAAAGCACTGAGTGGCACCGTAACTGTTAGGGACAGGCGTGTAGCTTACCATCAGGCGCGCGACTTGTTCGTCCCGTCACTTGATGTTATAAAAAAAAAATTAAAAAAAAACAGTTTATAACTTTTAGTTCCGATAGCAATATGTATGATGTTATATTTTACGTACATCCCACAAAATGAATGGTACAAACCTGGCATTGTCTTCTGAGAACAATAAATGGGTGACTGAGCAAATTCTCTGTAATAAGACTCGCTACACTTATTGCTGTGGTCACGTAAGTGTTATTGTCTGAAACAATTCAAGAATACAATGATACAACATCTATTACCTTTTTTTTTTATAGTTGAAGCGGAATCCAATGAGTTGTAAGTGACACATTTTCCATTTCAAATTTGGTTTTAATATAATTACCTTCTTCTGGAACATCGTCCATAACTAACGGGGGACCCTGATACTCCTCGGTTGCAGGGGTGTGATATCCGTAAATTTGCTGATAGCGAGTATCATACAAATCACTTGGTTCTCTATTTGGATCCAACCTGAATGGTCTGTTGTATCCCGTGTATTCTCCGAACCCCGCCATTGCCAGAATAAATCACTCACACATCATCAAAGGCATATTATCTGAAAATAAATGGGAATAAAAATATCTACAAAATCTCAAATCGTACCACCACTGGTTCGATTTCTTTACACAAATAATAATTTATATTTTTCTATAGATATAAATTAAATTTTAGATCAATCGGAAGTCATTGATAATATTTTGCCCAATGAGAAATTTGTATTCGTGCAAATAGAATAGACTGCAACTTCCAAATGTTTTCGGATACGTTTAACATTTTCATTATGCCAATATCGTTTGATCGAATTATCTTATTAACGAAGTTTCTTATCGATACGCTTACCGCGATAAGCCAAGAGAAATAAGAAAAAAAAACGTTTCAGTAAAAGACTTGCGTAACAGTAGTTTTGTAAATATGTAAGAAAAAGAAAATCAAAAGATTTAATTTGATTAGTGTGCGTCATCATGCATCCTCTAGATGTATCCGAAAATACTTTAATTTGACATTGACAGTATTTGTTTTGACAGTTCTCATCTGACGGCTGCGGTTGCAGAAAGTGGACGGGGTGGACGGACAGGCGCAAACAAAAATCGCGAAGCAAATAGCCGAGACGCATGATCATTTCATTTTGTATCTGTCCCTATCCTTTGTGAAGATTTTAGACAGCGAATGAATATTGATTATAAAATAGGACCAAAGTTCGCTACCCCTAAAAAAATGAGGCTAACTTAGGATTGAAATTTAATTTTTGTGTGAAAATGCTAGGGTGGGCCGTTTTATGTTTGTTAGCGTTACATTTTTATGGTGAGTGTAGTTTTATTGTTTCTACAATGACTTGCTAGTGCATCTAGGAGTTTTGACGGTATTGTTGATTGGTTGCAGGGGTAGCGAGCCAGGGGGAGTGCACAGACCTGCGGGGGCGGTTGATCTCGCACGGGTTGCACTATGTGCCCGGGCCAGACACCTGTACGCTGTGCGTTTGTGACAATGGCCTGCCCAAAGTTTGCAAGGCTGTGCTGTGCTCTCCACCTCAGGTAAGGTTACTTGTTGGTGTCAGTTCTTCTTCAAAGAGAGAAGAATCTGTTCATGGCTTTTATGTAAAGTTTTTTTATTGAAACATAACCATTTATATTTTTTACATTTGGTCACCAATACTGAAACTGATGAATGATATAAAAGGTCCTTACCCTGGCTTCCATTGATGTTATTTTATTTTTTGCCTTTAAACTAGCAGTGAAATATCTGACATGTTTGACTGACATTCTCATTAGACAATAGAATTTCTTGCCTAATCATTTTATGATTTTATAACAGGATAAAGTAAACAGAAAATATGTGTAATTCCATTCAATTCATGTCATAGTACCTGGGCATTCTAACATAATCTTAGCAGATTTGTAATTCAAGTTCTTTTTGTGATAGTCTGTCTTTTTTGAAGATGGAGTAAATTGTCAGTTCAACTAGTGATTGCACTTGATAAATATTTTATCAACTATGGATTGTATGCCAGTTACGCTTATGAAATAAATTGCCGAACTTTTGTCATTTGATTCATTATTGGCCCATTAATGTCCTCCTGCTGGACACAGGTTCATTTAAATTGTTATTTTTGAAAATTCATTCATTCATACACTAAAAAAAATACACAAAAAGTATCTATTAAAAATACGATAGGAGTCATATTGTAAAGTTTTTCATTTTAATTTAATGTTTATGTGATGAAATTGATTTCGATAATAAGAGACCAACTTTTATTGTCAAAAAAAAAGAATAAAATAAAGCAATTAGTAATCACTACGATGTTGTAACATTCACAATTCAGACATTTTTGGCAAAATTTTACCTATTTTCACAATCTATTGATAAAACTACCTGACAGGAAGGTGCTCTAAAACCTTAGTGACTTAGACTTGTGACTTTGTTGAGTTAAAATAAACAAGTTTCTGTTGGCCCAATGAAGAGGTCTCTATTTTGGACACAAGTTGAAGTCTGCTTTCTTCCAATTGCTGACAATATTCACACAGGTTTTATTATGGGCATCACTTGTACTATCATCCATATAGCAATGTATGTTACTATTATATATCATTGCTATGCAGGATGAGCAGGGTTGGTGATAAAATAGAACTTTGATGAACATCGACATTGATGAGCTTAGTGTTCGGGTAAAATACATCCACTACATGACAGTAATACAACTTTTCTGCTACACTTAGATTGGAAGCTAGTGATCCAAATGCTCAGCCATTCTGAAAGCCTGTAGGATGGTAGCTTAATAGAAGTACCTTGTATCAGACCCGATGAAAAGCCTGGATGGTATCTAAGCTCAATGACACTGCTTCCCCTTTACTGTGGATGGCAACTGGTCATTGGCGCGTGAGAAATACAAAAAGGGCTCAAGGGTCATTCCAGCGAAAATGACACTGTGATTCAAAAAAATAAATTACACAATTTGGTTTTAATTGTATGACTAGAATACACCCAATAAATCAAATCATTAGAAATAAATGAGATTTTTCGGATATTGTACAATTATTGTATTTTTTGTCTTCATTAACGCAGCTATTGCTGTCATCTATAGTGAAGCATTTTTCTTATAATGTTAACAACAATTTTCGCGGTTATTTGTGCGCCTTTCTAAAAACGTTATTACTGTCGATAAAAATACAATTTATGAATTTTAAAATAATGATAAGTGTTTGCATGGAAGTATATATGGTGAGGAGTTATTAAAGTTTCAATAAATACTAATTTCAAGTATTTCGTCTTTCGTCAAGTATTCGTCACAATGAAACATATATATTTTTATTTTAACCAATAAATATGCAATCTATTGGCATTTACTTTTGTAAAAGTAACAATTACGCTAAGGGTCATTATTTTGGCTTGGTTGGTCATATACAATAGGAATGTAAATATTACACTAGGGAAACCCTGTGTCGCGGGTGCCTTAGAGACACACATAGACAACCACAAATTACACCCAAAGTCACAAGAGAAATAAATGTAGGCCGTACAAATATTTCTCACGAACCGGGAATCGAACCTGGCACCTCTGCTTGGCAGTCATGTGGCATGGTAACCGTTCGGCCACGGAGTCAGTTTAAAAATAAAAAGTTTAAATTTGTAAAATGCTTAGAATTAGTTTATTATTAATTATAATGAAGTTTATACGGAAGATTAATTAATTACTAAATTACTTACTGAGATGACAATTAAAGGCTGCTATATACTTAGTTTTTGCGTTAATGTAATGTTTCAAATTACCATTAACTTGGTGAGGTTAAAATCCAGTTTCTCAGCCTTTAGTTTTGGAAAACCTAATTTTGGAAAATCTTTGTTGTTAAAATTATAGACATATTGAAAAAGAGGTTTGTTGTTGCTTAGGATTGCCGGTCCTTCCGTGTCGGGAACACGTGCTGCGAATTCATATGCCTCGACGACGTGGTGAAACCGGCCGAGGGCGCGGAGGCCAATGTGCGAGTGGCGGCCGGAGGCGCAGCAACCGTGGTGCTTCTGACGGTCGCGCTTGTGGTATACAGAGTGCGGAAACAGAAACGGCGCAGGCCACCACACGCTGACGATCAGAGGAGCTTGACTAGTATAGGGTTAGTGAAATTTGAACTTCGTTGTGGGTTCACGACTTCCGTGCGCAGTGCACTTCGCCTCCTTTTCAGCCGAAAGGAAGATTCTCATCTTTACGAGACAGGCTTGGCCGTAATCTTAAGAAAATAATCTAGTGACAATATTGTAATTTGTTCAAGTAAAGTCAGCACTTATTAATGACACCTCTGTATTAAAACTATAAAAAATTAAAATTAAATGTATATTGCTATTAAGGTTCATAGATAATTTTGTAAGGCTCTTTCTCTGCTAAGGCGCAATTTACATTGCCGCGGAACGGAATGGAAGTAATTTTTGTAACGAAATTGTAAGTGAAAATGAACTTTATGTCAATTGTGTAATGTATACCTACCTACACTATAGAAACGGTACGACCCGCGCGACTTGCTTTTTGCCTCGTATATAATTTGTACGTTAGACAATTGAGATTCCACGCCATGAATGACACGCCAAGTTAATTCGGAATCCAAGACAATAACTTTATATTTATGGATCTACTTATTCAACTAAGCAAAAATAAATATCAGTTTGTTTAGAGTAATAAATCAAAACGATTGTCTTTGTTGCTTTTTTTGTGTAACAGTTTTTTGTAGTCACGCTGAGCGGTCGTACGCAACGTAATTCAATATGCAAACTTGGCCTAATGACATTGAGATTTCGTGTCATGTTTTTAGCACTCTTGTGTTACGATTCGACCAGAACTTCGAGTCTATCGAGGTTGACCAAGCAACTTTAAATAAATAAATAATTGAAATATATAAATAATTTAGATAAATAAATTACATAGTTAAGGAGCATTAGAGTTCCTTTTGAAAGAGTTCGTCCAGGAAAGTACTGCCACCTTATCTATTTCTGCCGCCAAGCAGAAATGTCATCATTACTGCGTTCCGGTTTTGAACGGTAAGGGTTCTGGTGAAATTACAGGCACATGAGACTTATCAACCTATGTCTTAGGGTGAAGGGCGCATTGGCAGTGCCTCTCCGGGGGCCTACCACAACCTTTTAAAACTATACTATTTTAACCTTCCATTGACTTTTCGTACCATAACGCGCTTTAAGTAAGATTATTTTAATGTTAAAACTATGATGTTTTATTGGCAGCTTGTGACTATTCATTCACTCAGTTCGTACTATGACGTGGCTTTAACATTAAAGTAATATTGCTCTTACGTCAAATTTAGCAATCTTAAAATAGTTACACGGATGCAATGGAAACAATATTATTTTCAGTTTTATTGTCTTAATATTGATTTGTAATGATTAAAAGTTAAGTTGTACCTATTTATTTACATATATCTCTTCAGTATTTTGTTTATTTTTTATTTAATAGCACATGGTAAATAATTTTTCGTTAAATAAAAGTACGCGATGTTTATTTCGTAAAATTCAAACAGCGCCATCTATATGCTCCTTGGCGAAACTAACAGTTGACACTAGACTATAGTTTCGAATTCACAACCTGACTATCAAGACGCTGCCGCTGTGTCTTGTTAGTCAGGTGTTGTGCTGTTTTTTTATTTTTCTTCGTGATAATGCGGAATAATTATTGAAAACGACGTAATTTTAATATATTTTATTATTACATACTTTTCTTTGCTTAACAGTCAAAATTCTCTGAATGTAAATAACATTAACCACTTAAACATTATACTACGATAAGACGATTCGGAACACCAAAAAAGAAAGAGATGGCATTATATAGTCCACATAGCGTCATCTCTTTCCTATTTTTAGTAAAGAGTAGACAATATTGGGAAATCATTCGTTCTTTTAATCACTTTTGCAATAATACATTGATTGGTTGACAGGTTTGTTATGATACGAATATGAGTAATATTATAATAAGCTTACTTTAAGCTTACATTGAAATAAGATTGTTTTTGGAAAGGTTATGGTAGGCCCCCACATCTTTGTGTTTTAAAGCTCTTGAGTGGTACTGCAACTGTTATGGACAGGCGTGTCGTTTACCATCAGATGCACGACTTGGTCGTTCCGTCACTTGGTATCATATAAAAAAATAAATAAACCACAGATGATTGTAATATTATTTCTACTCGTATGAAATGTACGTGTTTTTATTATTGATTATGTATTTGGAAGTTTAACAACCAACGTATAGCTTGTAGCATACATATACGCGCCACTTTATAATTTGGGCTATCAGCGCAAAAGTGGTGTAACCGACATTTAATTTTTTCCTCAATATGACTTTAAATGATACTAAATTACAGAATTATTATACATTTGGATGTTATTTTCACTTAAAAAAAACATTTAATAAATAAATATTAGACAACATCACGCACGTTGCACTGATCCCAAAGTAAGGAGCTGAAGCACTTGTGTTATGGAATTCGGAAACAAAGACGGTACCACAAACGCCCAGGTGGTCTACTCTCGATCTCCGTCTGACATCCGTCCGAAACAATTACTGCCAAATAAGCAATACTTGACCAAATGAAAAGACGCGTGATGCGAATGAAGCTTCATACTTGATACTTGTCTTTTAATTATGTCGAATATTACTTATTTGGCAGTAATTGTTTCGGACGGATGTCGGACGGAGATCGAGTGGCCCACCTGACCCGAGATGGTAATAGTAATCATACATAACCAATATAGAAATGTTAGTTTTTCTACACTGACTTCAGAGAAGGCGATACCATAAAAACCGTTGTGTGCGTTGTGTTGTGTATGTGTATGATTATTATATATCAAATGAATTTGGTTAACTTTCATTTCGTCATTATAATCTACATGCATTTTATGGGGTTACACCACTTTTGCTCTGATAACCTCAATTGTGAGTTTCATAAAAATCTCATAATTATTTATTATCTTGAGTGTAAGCTGAAATATTCAGAATTAAAGTAAGACTTTCAGAGCTGGCTTACATCGATCCAGCTGGATATAAACTTTAGTTTATTCAATTAATGTAATTTAGCTTTTAAAATCATGTATTCATAATGTCCAGGTACATAAGTGGCAGCATGGGGTACATGGGCGGTACGTGTGAGACCGCATTGGCGGGGTGGAAACCCCCAGGCAACTATTTACCGCGCGGGGAGGCACCTCCACCGTATGATGAGGTTGTAGCTCAGTGCCGTAATGAAAATATGAGGTAAGTAATGCACGTTATTTTTAGGTTTATACATACATACATATATTACTTACATTAGGTAAGGTAAGGGAACACAGGGTCAATTTTTATATTTAGATAAAAGCGAAGGTGATTGTGGCGGGTTGGTTTGTAATGCACTCTACTTTCGTCTAAACCCTTTAAAGGGTTTTTTGAAAGGAGTCTTACTATTTAGTTTAAGTATTGTGTTTTGATAATACAAATTAAAAAAAGAACAGAACACTACATCATCAACACAAAAACGCTCTTATACATGTACAGTGAACAGCACATCAATATACAATTTTGTTCGAATATCGCGTCCAGAACAACAGAGCAAATTTCGTCAATGCCGTACATACGTCGAAAAATAATAGGGGTTTAAATATGAAATTGCCGATTTATTTTACTGGCCACTTTAAATTAAAATTAAACCTGTATGGTGTCCGATTTCAGAGTGAAACGTTTTTCACACGAAAAGTAAAACATGCTTAACTTAAAAAACATGATATTTTATTGTTCGACTTTCAATTGTTTTTACATTCAGCTTTTAACGTGAAGACAGATACAGCGAAAATCTGAGTACCTAATTTTCGAATACGAATTTCCACATGGAGTTAACGTAACAGAAACTGTCAATGCTGTATTTGGAGAGGATACGGCATACGCAAATACGGCAAACGCCGGCAATACGGCAAATTACGACTTGAAGAAAGAACCACGAGGAAGACCAGTCACAAATGTAAATAACGTTGAATTGAAGGTAATGATGAAAGCCGATCCGTATCAAACTACCACGAAACGTCATGGTTTAATGTTAGCATACCCACAATATGACATATGGCGTTTGAATAATGACGACGGAACTCGCAGCAAAACAGCTTACACCGTTATTGCTCTATGATAACGCAACACCTCACACTGCTTGTGAAACAGTTTTACTACTACAAGACCTGCAGATATAAATTATCCATCATCCTACATATTCGTCGGACCTCGCCCCGACCGACTACCATTTTTTCCCGCAATTTGATTTTTTTTGTATGGAAATAAAATTCCCAAGAAGCAGTACAAAAATCCCTTCACACAGCTGTGGAGTCCAGGTCTCCAGAGTTCTATCGCAAAGGTTTAAATGACCTTCCGATTACATGGCAGAAATGTATAGACAACAAGGGAAAAACTTTGATTAAACAAATATATTTAATCTTAAAAAAAATTGTTTTAATTTTTCAGTGCGAAACGGCAATTTCATACTTTAGCCCCTAATATTAATTACCAAAGGTACTGAAGGACCAAACATAAGTATTTACGTATTTAAACAATACGATAACGTAAGCACAGACAAAGTAGCAGTGTCAACCGCAACGTAACCAGATGTTGTAGAATCCACTGAAGTGATGAGATCATCGATAACAATAGTTTTTGTCTTTGTCTTATTAACAAGTTTTTTACTCATGAGATTAATAAAACAACACTGCTGCTTAATGTGGAACACGTAAAACTATTTTGAAAAATCGTTCTGTTTTTAGGATTTTGTTGAGTTTAACACATTCGTGAGCTCTTAATTTTGATTATCATACAATAAGGGTCAATCGCTGCGTAACGGAATGAAAGTGAATTTTTGTAACGAAATTGTATATAACATAATCAACTTTATCTCAATGTGTAATTTTATAGACTAGATACGATACGGCAGCTGCGGGTATTCCCGAGACTGCGCTAGTACTCTCCCAAAGACGTAGCTTGTTTCTTGGATTTTTTTATATAATACCAAGTGGCGGGATCAGCAAATCGTGCGCCTCGTGGTAAACGATACGCCTGGCGATATCAGTTGCAGTGTCACTGCCACCGCGCCCTTGTTGTTGACAAGTCCCATATGTCTGTAATTTCACCAGCACTCTTACTATTCCACATTACTGCTTGGCGGCAAAAATAGGTAAGAGCGGTTATACATGGCGACTTTGAACAGCGCGTCTACAGCGATTCAGTCGTGGTGCAGTAGGAATGCAGTGGCCAATCGCCCATCTTTACACACACGCGCCACTTATGCAGCGATGCAAACGTGATGCAATTTCTCAATTAATTAAGTTAATTTGTTTATTTCACTTTAAAATTTACAATAAAAAACGAACGTTGTTCACATTATGATTCAACTCATGATTGCATCGATACGTTTGTGTTTCTTGAACGCGCGTTTGTATTGCTGTTAAAAGTGACCACGTGTTGTTCTAAGGTGGCAATACTTCCCCGAATAAAATCTCTCACCTTACCTATTTCTCCCGCCAAGCAGTAATGTGAGCATTACTGCATTTCGGTTTTGAAAGGTTAGGGGTGCTGATGGTATTTCTCAACTCATATCTCAGACCGTCAAAGCTTTGAGTAGCACTGCTGCTGTTATGGACAAGCGTGTCGTTTACCATCAGGTGCACGACTTGTTCGCTCCGTCACTTGGTATCACAAGAAAAAGCATTTTTAACTCGTTCTTTCCAGGAGAATTTGTCTTACGTGTTAAGTAAGTATAAGTAAGTGTAAGTGTCGTATGTGTAAGTGGTGTTTAATAATTTTGAAGATTTCAAATAAGTATAGTTTGATTACCTGAAATATGAAATGATGAGTTTATGAATAATGTTGAGCTGGAAGATACTCTGTAAAATTTGGATTGGGGATTCAGTGCTATGCGTAATGTGCGGGTCGGTTCTTAGTACATCCATGTTTTAAAAATATTTTCCCAGAGAGTTTATAAGGTCTTACTATCTTTGTCACAATATAGTCTATTGTATGCTAAACACTAAACTACTAAAGAATATGTAAATAGGTCGACGACGATGCCGCGTGTATAAAGCGTTAGACTCGCAAGCTGTATACATAATTAACTGTTAGTTTTGATTGAAAGATTTGTGAAGATCAAATGAATCTACATATATTACTTTCAAGCTACTGTAAAGTAGTGGTATATGGTGCATTTTCTGATACTAATTTTGGTGAAAACAATTGACGAATAATTAAAAATAAAAAAGCCTAAAGTTGAGCGCAGAACGCTTTTTTGTAGTTAAAAGATATCAAATGAATAAAGTAGTATTTACAGTGGTACAAAAATATATAAACTCCTCAAACGAAATCGTCATAAAATGTTTATTTTCAGCCTGGGAAAAGCCGGTCGATTCTCTCGTATTCTCGTTACCACAGAAACTGGGAAAAATCCATGTGGCAAATCACCAAGAGGTCTAAAACAACGGCGCAATTTAAGAATACACACGTAAAATGTTTGCAACATGGCCATACCAATTTGGCTTGATTTAATGGTATAATTTTAAAAGTAAAGTAGTTTTGATGGCTAGAGTAGATTCTGATAAATGTACAAAAACACTTTGAAGTACTGATTTTCGTTGAAGTAATGCTTAGTTTTAATGGATCTTTAGGACTCTGCACAAAAAAGAAAAATTTGGATCACTGTAAATAGGTCACCCTTTACATTCTCATTTCTAGATTACATAAATACACATCAACATAATGGTTACCCTAGTAGACATAACGACATAATGGTTACCCGTTTTGGAATGAATATATGTGTAAGCAATGTTAAAAATTCTATTCGCATTTTCTTGTCCTTAGAATGCAGAGTGAGCAGGCATTTCATCGCACATATCCTGCCACGGTAGAGAGTCTGGCCCGACCTGAGGACTCCATGCAATGCTCTGGACACAGTTATACTAACGTGCCCCGACCAATGGCACAGGTAAGTTATGCTAAGTTTTAAATAATGTCTTGGCCGTCCAGTCCATGCAGTTTTTGCCACTAGCTAACTTTAAACAAAATAATAACTTTTTTTTATAAAAAAAAGCGACCTCTCAAGTTCGTGGAATAACATTTATTTGCCAAGTTTTATTGAAATCGGTTACCGGAAAGTGCGTGAAACCGGATTCACCACCTGGTTTACTAACCTTAGAGGTGAAATACTTTCTTCGAATTTAAATGGCACCAATGCTGAGGGACCCTCGTTCCTACAAAAAAAGGATCATCCAAAATCGGTTCAGTACAGTTGAATTGAGAATCACTCTTTTTTTGAAGTCGGTTAAAAAGTTTTTTCTTTCAAAATTTATATTAACAAAGATCATTTTAAAAATGATATTTTAGCGCGCATTTTAATTATGGATGAGAAAGTTTTTAGCTATTTAGTTTTTAAGTACATAAACTCCCAGAATTGATGAATCGTTAAAGTGTCGTATGTATTTCATTAGAATGCCCAACTATACACATTTTTACAAGGTCTTCAGAAACTTGCCTAGAATGGACAAGAATTTTATAACTAAGATCATCAAACGGCTCTAGAGCTGTATTTTATAATTAACAACGAAAGGAATATTTGTATAAGAGGAATTCTAAAATTAAGCAGTGAACGCCTATTATGTATGAAAGACAGCACAGCTCGAATACCAAATGTTGATGATGTAAAAAATGAAACTCGATTCTTACTGTTGCGTAATTCACACTTCATTTTTTTCATTATTCTTGAACCCTACAATCAGATACAAGCTCCACATCTTTCTACGTTAGTTTTAATTATAGTGACCCTCCTTACCTACACTTACATACGAGAAGGGCACTATAGCCTGTGCGCGCACAGGAACCTTATAAGTTCAGGGACCCCAGATCAGCCAGTGTACAGGGTTGTCACAGACCTCTGTCACTTGACATTATCCAGTTCTTTGAGAGGCTAGTGCCTCGGGTGAGCCGCCCCGGGTGCACGTACAGTACCCTCCCTATTTTCCAGATAGGTACTGGAGTTGTAGGCACGCTCACTTCCCGTTACGCATTGAACAACTAGCGGTTGCCACCGCTAAGCCGTCGACTCTGAGTTCACTACCAAATCTCCTCATCGGTGGCGGAGCTGTAAGGCACGCTCACTTCCCGACGCCGCAAAACGACGTCTCTCCAGTTCTCAGTTACCTAAGCGCCTGGAGGAACCGGAGGATATCTAGCATATCCTCTACGAGCTCACCGGGCTAGTGCCGGAGATGCCAGTCGCAGTGTCCTGCGACAATGTCGGACATAGCTTGCAATTTAAAGCGCAACTCACGTGACCCGCGCGTCTCCTCGCTACGGGCACTCAACTAGACCGCTACTAGGACGCGTTAGCTGCTCACGAGACAGACGCCCCGGAAACATACAAAACCGGGGCAGACAAACATGTCCGTCTCTTCAACTAACCACAAACCCCAGCGAGTCAATACCCAAGTCCGGGTCCGCCAGAGACGCCCGCAAAGGCGTACCACTGGCGGAGGTGTATCACCCGGACGCCCGCTGTGCCCTGGTCTTGCCGTCGAGCCCGTAGTCTCTCCCGAAAACCCTATCTCTCGGGCCGGTAGATAGGGACACTACAATCAGATACAGAAAAAAACCCTACAATCAGATACAAAAAAAAACACTACAATCAGATACAAAAAAAGAACTAGAATTTGAAAATCAATGACCAAAGACTGATACGGTGATGAATGGTATCTTGCTGGTCGCCAATAAGTACATTCCAAACAGTCGTACATTGTGAGACCTGTCGTATTCAAACGCATTTAGTAGTAGCAAAGCTTTTTGTGAAAGAGTTCTAAGGAAGTAAGTAGGAAGTAGTAATGTGAGCATTACTGCGTTCTGATTTTGAAGGGTAAATGTGTTGGTGAAATTACAGACACATGGGACTTCTCAACTTATGTCTCACGGTGACGGGCGCAGTGGCAGTGCTTCTTAGATCTTTGCGATTTAAAACTCTGAGTGGCACTGCTACTGTTATGGACAGGCGTGTTACTTAACACCAGGCGCACGACTTGTTCGTCCTTTCACGTGAGATTATAAAAAAAATTCGAAATACTGTATTTTGTGAGCTGGTATTACTCTATTGTTTTTTTGTTTCATATTTAAACATTGTAACAAATAGGGATAAAATATGTCATGTCTGACAAGTTAATATTAAGTAGCTACAATTCGTTTTACAAAGTGCATTAATACATAAGTTGGGCTTTTTATTGTGATGTTCTTGTCACTCAAATTCTCAGTCTTTATGAGCTCAACCTCAGGTCAAACATTTGGCATGCTGCATAAGGCTCAATTTATATTAGCAA